ACCGAAAAAAAAAAAAATCTTAACCAGGCTCTGATACTATGACAAAGAAAAATATGGGAAGAATTTCTTGATTCCATCGATGACTAGAGAGGGCTTATATAGCCATAAGTTACAAGACCTAATTACAATACATGGAAACTTACACAGTAAGGAAACTCCCTAATTAAAGCCTATCAAATATTCACAAAATATATAGATATGGTAACACGTTCGAACGGCACCCCACCAAGAGACGCGTAACCCGCCATTGAGAGCCATCCGTGGTCAGTCCTTCCACCACCGGAACAGTCGCACCCGGCGGCCAGCCACTGCACCCCCATAAACGCACGCAGCAACAGCCGAGTTCCAATCACCGGTGACCCATAGCCGCTGCCACCTCCCAGACGCGAGACATCGCAGCACCACCCAACCGTCCGCGGACAACCATCATCGACAAGCACGTGCCACCGGAATCTTGGTCGAGATCCGCCGCGTGCAAGCACCAAGCCACCGCAACCGTCCCGCCGTTCAGCCGCTGGCTTCATCTTGTACGACGCCACCAGAGCCCGATGGAACCACCGTAAATTGGCGGTCCGTCAGCCCCGTCAGCCGCAACTGCTCCTTAAGGCTACCGGTCGTCATCCTGCCATACCGAGGGTTCTGCGAACTCAAAAAGGAAGAGCAATTGGGAAACGATATAAGAAAATGTGAACAGAAAATGAAGGGATTGGCTATCAATCGGCGAAATTAGTATGAAGAGGGAAGGAAATTTTCAGAGATGGCAAGAATTTGGTGATCTGTAGAGAAGAAAGAAAAAAAACGACTGGAAGAGGAAAGGAAAGAGAGAGAGAGAGAGAGAGAGAGAGAGAGAAGAAAAGAAAAAGGAAAAAGGAAAAGAAAATAGAAAAGGATGTGGGCTTTAATGAGCTTAGTTTGCTTTTTAGAATTGGGCCTTCAAACTCAAGTTATGGGCTTTGATTAATATAGGAGTATTAATTGGGCCAAAGTAATAATGTATTTTGAAGAGGACGAGGCAAAGACATCTAAAAAGGAGCTTCAAACCGATTACCGAACTATTACCGATCCGTGCCCCGTGCTTGGAGATTCTCGAAGTGCGGTAAATCTCGAAACCCTCTTTAAATCGTGCGTTTGAATCCTTTAGTGAGAATTTCGTTAATTATTCTGAGTTATCGAGAGAATTATTTATAAGATATTATCTTGATTCAATGAAGGTTCCTGAGGCATCGAGCCTCAAATCTATCCGAGCCTTTCGTGTGCATTTTTCTTGATCCCTCAAACAAGTGGGGGTTCTATAATATGGTTTATTCTGTATAAACATGTGGTAGTATAGTTTTTATATACATATTGTTGGCTGGTGGGCCGATTTTGAATTGTGAGAATTTATCTGGGGGCTTGAAATAAGAGTCAATTAGTCGGATAATGATATGTTATAGACCAACATTCATGAACTTAGGTTAGCGACGTATAATAGCTAATTAGCCGGGTATATTCTGGGGGCTTGAAATAAGAGTCGATTAGTCGGGTCTACCTGGGGGGCTTGAAGCTGGGGGCGTATAATAGCTAATTAGCCGTATAATCATATGACATGCAAAATTCACCATCTCACTTATGTACTAATAACAACCCGGCTTCAAGCCCCAGGCAGACCCAGCTAATTCACCATCTGCATGGGGCTTGAAGCCGGGTTGTTATTAGTACATAAGTGAGATGGTGAATTTTGCATGTCATATGATTATTATTCTATCCGCGTTTATGCTGAATCGATGCATAGTATGAATTTTACCACTGAGCCGAGAGACAGTGCTCACCCCTTTGTTTTTCAGGTTGATCGAGTTGGCGGCGGATGAAAGGACGGGCGTGGTCTACTTTAAATATGTATTTTTTTTAATGTATTTTCGCAAACTTTGTTGAAAGTTAATGTCATTTGAACGTTTAATTTTCATTTGATTAAATTGGAACGTGTTTATTTGAAACGATTATTCATGTTTTGAATGATTTGCTAGAAGGAAGAGATTTAGAGTAATGTTCGTTTAGTTAAACTGGATAAATGAATATTTTTAAGAGTTTAAATTTTCCTAAAAATCTGTGTTTCCTTTAAATAAATAAACGAGTATTACAACAACAATATTCACAAGTTATCTTCGCATTCTGCATTGTGCTATCAATGGAGTATCGTGGATTCAAATAATTTTTTTAGAATTATTAGAACCTTATATTAATAATATTTTTCAAATCCCTAAATTCTAGTTTAAGATAGGTGGTGTCTACATTACTAATAATGAAATTTTGCAGTTTTGTAGGATTTAAATGAATAGTTGTTGCTATATTTGTTGAGTTACAAACTAGGTCGCACCAATAAGCCTAAATTATGACACCAAGAAGTTCATTCATATGTTTATTTTTTAGTCTTATTATATGAGAGTATATTACAGCAAGGAGTGACAAAGTTACATTATTCCGACAAAGTTACATTATTCTAGCATATCGTGAAGAAGCACTAGAAGTCCTAACACGGAGAGGGAGTATGCTTGCATCTTTTCCAACAGTTAGGTGGGCCCCATGGGGTGCACAGTCTGGAGTTGTTTCTTATCTCAGTTACTCTGCAAACCAATATTGCAATCCAAATGAAAACTTAATATTGCGCCTATCTATATAACTCTCTTAAAAGGAATGGTAGTTTATTAAAACTTTTGAATTGTCAAGAATGTCTTTACTAAACATAAGTTTTAAGGTTATTAATGCAATTCCTTATTTTTAAGTTTTTACACATACAAAAAGATTATCTATGCAAAATTACAGATTTTAAATAAATAATTTATTATGAATTATATTATTTAGAACAGATCTACATGTGACGATAGGTTTCAATTTATATTATTTTAAGGTTAGTTTTTAAATGTAAGAAAAAATGTTATTGTAAGATTTTGTACATAAAATATGTTTTATTTTATTAGTGTAAAATATATAATGCACCAATGAAAGTATCATCTTTAATTTTCAAATATCATATTGTTTACTATAGAGATTTTTTGTCACCGTATTAAAAAATTAAAGAGGAACAATTAATTGAACATGCTTATGTAAAGGAATGGTTGGATAAAAAATAATTCTTCCACATACAAAATGTCAAATTTCTGTGTAATAAAGTTATTCGTTAAGCGTAGAATATATAATCTTGATAGTAATATTTTGTTTTAATTATTCACTAGAACAATATGCACAATATGATTTAAGTTTACGTATCAATAGTGTGTATAGTATATATGTTCTTTTATGATAATATGTGTTATAAAAATTAATCTAACATTTACTTTAATTGTAATATACGTAAAAATACGAGTAATTGTAAGAATAAAATAAAATAACTAAAACTAATTTTAGATCTTCAATTTCAAAATACATGTACTTATTAGAAAATAGCTACAATTAGAATCAACTAAACAAAAATAGATAGTACATTTACTTTAATTTTTGTTGTCTTTAGCCAATCTTATTTATAAAATCATTCATAAATTAAATGTTTCAAATCACTTCTCATAAGTAGGACAAATAAAGTATATAAAAATATTGACAAAGATATAAAAATAATATTAAGATAAAAGTAAAATATGAAAGAATTATCATTTTATAATTCAATTAAATTATAATAATTTACTTTTTCACATTTAGGATAGTCTTGAAAGTCCATGAACAAAAATGGTAATGCATGAATGTCAATGTTAGGAGATGCAAATAATTTATCTTGGACTATATATATATATACCTTTAACAATCAAGGATGTTATTGTTCCTAATCTATCTCAAGTATTTTTTCATAAATAATTAGAACTTTAAAGGAATTTTCAAATACGTACTTATCTCTTATGTCATTATATCCAAAGAGAAATATATATCTAAGTATAATGAAACATTATACTTGCAAATATAATTGAATTTGCAATCACTATAATCAAAATAATAGAGAACGTCGAAACATTCAAACATAGTTGATTAGTTTTCAATCAACAATAAAAAAAAAAACGTCTTTACAAATAATAGATAGAACAAATTCAAGTTATTTTTCTAAGAGTATGACACAAAAGGAAGACACTAGAAAACTATATTATGATGGCAATTATAATGATATCATTAAATAACAAAACTAAAAACGTCATAGATTTCTTTTGCATTTAAAATTTCACAAATAAAAATATTATTTGCAGTTTGATTTTCAACCCAATGTTTTATTATTTATTTATATTTATCACGAAGTTTAGTTAATAGTAATAAATATTATTGTGTTTGCATGCAGAGAGAGTACTCACACGTCTCGGTTATGGAGGTAGAGACAAGTTAATGCGTCAATAGGAACACAACTGCCAAATAGGTTATTATTGAGCCTCCTATACTCGCAAAGACATATAAGTATGCGATAGCATGAGCGTATTTTTAATTATCCAAAGTAATTATATGGAAGATTGAAAATATAAAAGTGATAACCAAGACTGTAAGGATAAGTTGAAATTTATACATCATCAATATATATTAATAGTTTAAAAAATATATATTTTTTTTACTACTATTAATTATTAGAGAAACCGATTAATAGTTATTAAGGCATGTTGCTACAACATATATAGCTATTCATTGCCTTACATTGAACTTTCTCATTCAATGTGGGATAATTGCAAATCAAAGTTTTCACTCTCCCAACCTTTTATAGCCACTCTTGGCCTTTATTGTTGTGTTTGTAATCGATGTGAGATTGTCTCAAACCTTTATAAATACTTAGTATATTTTATATAATATATATTACATTAATATAATTATTATAAATTATAATAGTATAAGATATAATTAATTATAATAGAAAAAAATGAACTAACAACAAATACAGTTAAAAAATGATATTAATATAATTACTTTATTAATATAATTACTTAATTAGTATAAATTATATTATTATAAATTAAAAATGATACTAGTTTGAAAATATTATACTTTAAATTATTATGTTATATATTGGAATTGATTATCTTATAAATTAGAATTTATTACTATCATGTTAGAAGTTAGAAATTATTGTATTATATATTAGAATTGATTGTCTTATGACTTAGAACTTATTACTATTTTGTTAGTGGGTAGAAATTATTGTATTATAGATTAAAATTGATTATATTATAAATTAGATGGCCAAGTACATATACGTTGATTGTTATTGAATTGTTAATTTTAACTTATGTTTGTGATTGACTTTAGACCAAGTACATATACGTTGATTGTTATTGAATTGTTAATTTTAACTTATGTTTGTGATTGACTTTAGACCAAGTACATATGCGTTGATTGTTATTGAATTGTTAATTTTAACTTATGTTTGTGATTGACTTTAGACCAACTACATATACGTTGATTGTTATTGAATTGTTAATTTTAACTTATGTTTGTAATTGACTTTAGACCAAGTACATATGCGTTGATTATTATTGAATTGTTTATTTATAATGTGGCATAGCATTTGGAAAGTGTCACTAATACTTCA